GAATGTCCACTGTGTGCCTGGCACTGTTCCAAGTGCTGAAGAAAAATGAAGAAAACAAAAATCCGTGCCCTTGTAGAGGAGACATTGTAATGTGGAAGACGACATAATGAAAAAGAATGAAGAACAAAACAGAAAAGTAACATGTCACTTGATGACAAGTACTGTGGAATGAGACTGTCATCTATATGAAGCACAGAAAGTGGAACATGGCAACATCTCAGCCAAAAGACCTGGCAGACACCACCTTGGCCAAGGGATCAAGGTTGGCATCGCCGTCTGTAAGCAGTGCTGACATCTCGTTCTCTTCGATATGGCGTCATGAGCAGGCTGCCTCGCTGGTGGGATCTTCCTCCAAACCCAGAACTTCAGTCCAATCACGAGAAAATGACAGCCAATCCCAAGTTCAGGGACATTTGGCAAAATACCCCACCACTCCTACTTAAAAGTGTCGAGGTCATGAAAGGAAGGAAACCCTGGGAAATCGTCATTGGCCGGAGGAAACTAAGCAGACACGATGACTAAATGCAATGTAGAATCCTGGGACAGAAAAGGACATTAGTGAGAGAGCTGGTGAAACCCAAGTAAGTCCAGGCTATACCAATGTCCACTTCCCAGTTCTGAGGAACATGCTGTGGTCACGTGAGATGTACATATTTGCATTAGTGGAAGCAGGGAGAGCGTATATGGGACCTCTCTGTATTGTTTGTATAACTTTTCTGTAAATCCAAAACTGCTTTAAAATAGCTTTTTAAATGATACTTTAAGTTCTGGGGTGTATGTGCAGAATGTGCAGATTTGTTACATAGGTATACATGTACCACGGTGGTTTGCTGCATCCCCTTTTTTTAAGACAATGTTTCAAAAAGAAAAATATTTTTTCTTTTACCTGTAGGTGATTTTTCCCTGTTGGTGAGCTCATTCTGTGGGAGGGCCTGGTGGGTGTTGGAGAAGCAGCTGGGGATAGAGGTGAGCATCCTGGGAGGGCTGCGTGGAGGCATCTACTTATGTGCAGACAGAAGGGTGAGGGACAGAACCGTGTGAGTCAGCTCCTCTGCAGTGAGCAAGGCGACCTCACAGAATGTTCTGTCTCAGGCCTCAGTTTGATGCGATCATGGATAAGTCAATCCTTTGTTATGCTCCTGGCCCTCACATTATGCAGCAGGGCACATAAGTGGGGTTGGGAATTGCAAAGGCAGAAGCAAGAGACCAGTTAAAGAAGAGAATGGAGCATAAGAGAGATAATCAGGAGGACCTTCCACAGCCAGGGCCCTGAGGGTCTCCTTGAGGTGGTGCCATTGAAGCCGAGTTCTAAGGGACAATCAGGTGTAGACACCGTGAGTCTCAGAAGTGGGAAAAGGGGAGTGCTGTGCACGGAATTGAGGGATGGTGCCTGTGGCAGCAGCTGGGGAGAGAAGGAGAAGGTGGGGTGGGAGGCCCATCCTTTTCTTGGCCACAAGGACACTGAGTAGGGTGCCCAGACTCAGTAATAATAACAGGCAGCACTTGGAGGCTGTGTCCTGTGTGTCTGGCACTCACCTTAGCCCTTTGTGCCCCTCGGCTGAGTTAATGCAGAGGTGAACTGAGAGGCACCTGGGGAAAGGGCTGGGGGACAGGAAGCAGGTGACATCTCCAGTCCTCTCCAGCTTCCTTAGACACTTCCTGGCAGACATTGGCCCCACTAATAACCAGGTAAACAAATAAAGAGAACTACAAACTATGATGACGACAATTCATCTGTCCACAGATATTCACTGAATGCCCACTGTGTGCCTGGCACTGTTCCAAGTGCTGAAGAAAAATGAAGAAAACAAAAATCCGTGCCCTTGTAGAGGAGACATTGTAATGTGGCAAGATGACATAATGAAAGAGAATGAAGAACAAAACAGAGAAGTAAAATGGATTGCAGGTCCACAGTACTGATCCTTCTCTGCCACCCTTCTCCAAGACCACCTTGGTGGGAGTAAGGGGCTCTAAGGGGACAACAGACACAGGAGCCAGACGCAAGACACAAGACACTTTTGACTCCCAGGAGAACCTAGTGTGGGCATCCATATGCCCTTCCTGATGGTGACTTTTTACACAGACATGCAGAGTACAGTTAACCAGCTGCTCCTGCACACGTCTGGATCTCTACTCACACATCTGTGCACATGCGTGAGTGCGTGCGTGCACACACACACACACACACACACACACACAGCCTCCTGGAGCACTGTGGATTCTGGGTGGCTAACTCAGCTACAGCCTCTGGTTGTACTGAGCTGAGCACCCATTGCCTGCTGGGGTGGGGAGAGGGCAGGCACTTTCCCTACGTGACCCCGTTTAACCCTCTCAGTGCCCCACTGAGGTGGTCCCTGTTGTCCCCAATGGACAGAGGAAGAACCTGAGTCAGGAACCCAGAGCGGTGTCTCCACTAAGTAGAAGCCTCTGTTTCTCTCCCAGCCTCTCCCAGAGGAGCTGTTCTGAAGTGTGTGGATTTGATCAGGATAATCAAGGTAAATGATCCTTATCTTGATACATCACAAATGTTAGGGTTCAAGGCTCTAAGGGTGGAGCGTGGGTGGAGTCTCTGCTGCCTGGTACCCTAAGCTGGGTGATTGCAAGCGGACACAATGTGACCACCTCTCGGGCCACGCAGGGGGAATGAATGTAATGAGGCCAGGCTTACAGGGTTGTTGAAGGCTCAGGGGAGACCAGGCAAAAAAAAAAAAAAAAAAAAGCTATGACCTGCGACCTCCCTATAGCAGTGTTTCTCAAACTCTGATTAACGTTACTTGAGGAACTTGTTAAAAATACGTATTCCTGGCCCTGATCAGATAAATCAGGACAAGTCAGAATATTTGACGCAGAGTCTTGGAGCTCCCCCTTGGGATTCAAATGTACACAGATTTTTGGTGCTTTGCCACCTACAGTACAAGAAAGGGCAGGACTGTCCTGTTCAGTGCACTATGACCTGGGCGCTCAGGCCCCAATAACTCCCCTACTCCCCCAGCTCCCTGCGGTGCCACCCACCTAGCTTTCATGCCTGAGAGTGGTCTTCAGACTCCTCCTAGAACAGGCCCAGAGGCTCTTAGTTATGTAAGTATCCATTCCTCCAGTCACTGCAGAGCACTCACCAGGTAACAAGCACACACGCCCAGGCGAGTTCCCCATGCTCATCCCCACGTTGACGTCTCAGACTCTACAAGTCTTCAGCTGCTGCCTAGGACTCTGTAAGTCCTTGAGCCTGGGACCCCTACCACACACAAGAGCTGGCATGCCCTACAGGCGGGGAAGTGCTGACCATATACACCCAGGAAGTCGGAATTCCAGATAATGAGTAACTTTTTAGCGGAATTCCAGATAATGAGTAACTTTTTAGCACAAGTACCCATGTCCTATGAATTGTGAGGTGTTTTTGTTTGTGAAATCTGACAATTCTACCTGTAGGGAACAGGGATGATTGAGAAGCAGCTGCTCTGATGGCCAGAAGCCAACAGCCTTCCCTGCAGAGATGCGGGAAATCCCGGGGAGAGCGGGAAAGGTCAGGCACTGCACTGGCAGTGGGAGTGGAGCTTGGGTCAGAGGAGGGTCAGTGCCATGAGGAAAGACCCTGGGAGGCTTCCTGCTACATAATGTGAGGGCCGAGAGCATAACAAAGGATTGACTTATCCATGATTGCATCAAACTGAAGCCTGAGACAGAACATTCTGTGAGGTCGCCTTCTTCACTGCAGAGGAGCTGACTCACACGGTTTTGTCCAGGAAGTTGCAACCTGTGCCAGGAGTAGCCAAGCTGGGAGTAGCAAAGAGGCTTTTCTAATGCAGGTTTTCCCGGAGCTCCTCTCCCTCCCTCCCCTGGCCAAAGATGAGCTCTGCAGGGAGAGCTGGCTCTAGGGGACTTTGCTCCTAGGCATCCCAGCTGCAGAGATTGGTGGCGCCAGTCCAGAAAGGGGGGTCTTCTGGACCAGGGGATGATGGGGTTGGGCCTCAGGGCACTGGGAGGCCAGTAGGGGTGCTTCAAACTGGCCAGTGACCTGAAGGACTCATATTCTTAAGGATATCCTGGTGGCCACGTAGAAAACAGTCTGGTGGGATGAGGGTGGAAGTGAGGACCAGCTCAGAGGTCACTGAGGGTGCAGCCAGATAGGCTGGGACCCACATGGGCAGCAGAGGTGGGGAGGAGCGATGTGGAGGGGGAGATCCAGCCCCACGCTGGGGGCCCCAAGGGAAGGTGGAGGCTGAGCCAGGAGAAGAGGCACCACCCACTGACGTCCTGCTTGCTGAATAACTGTGAGGAGCAGGATGAGGAGCAAAAGAGCAAGCGAGGAAGTCAAGGGGGTTATTTGGGTGCTATGCTCCATGTGAGGGTAGCTAAGTACAGGTGCCAAGGAGGCACCTGTGTCAAAATCCCAGCTCAAAATGTTAGTTACCAGAGGCCTCTGATAAAGACAGAGCCACAGGTAAAACGCAACATGCACAACCCCTCAACCCTAAAATCAGAAGGCTATCTGTGTCCTGGCGAGGAGAGAAGCACAATTGATCATCCACACCACCAGGATGCAAGCCCATTATTTCTGATGCAAAACCCGGGCTCCTTCCAGGGCTGGCACAGAGAACAGCCAGAGGTGTCACGAGGCCTCCACCTTCCCCAGCTGGGCAACCTCAGAGGGTATCTCCTTATCTCTGAGATCACTGTGTCTTCATGTCCAGGCTGGGCACAGGTCACCTGGGAGTGGAGCTGTGTTTGCAGAGAAGGAACTAGGGTGGACGTCAAAGCCAACCTGCCTGGTTCAGAATCCTGGCTCAGCTTGGCACTTACCAACAGTGGCAGTGAGGCCTTGGGAATGAGCTTCACCTCTCTGCACTTCTGCTTCCTCATATCTAGAGTTGAGGGAGTGATAGGACCCGCCTCAGTGGGTGTTCATGTGGATTCCATGGGCTCTTCAGCATAAAGAACAGAGCAGCTATGATGACCATCATCTATGTCACTGGGCCTCCGGGGATGAGGAAAGAAGAGGCAGATCTACTTAAGTACAAGGAAGGTGGAGGAAGGTAGTAAGGCATCAGCCATGTGGCACAGATTGTATTATGAGATTGACTGGTTTTCTTATGTCACCCTCAAATTTCCCTCCTTACCCGCTTCCCATGATTCCTGAGAGTCAAGAGGATGGGAGCTGTGGAATGTGTTAGTCATCCACTGCTGCAGAGCCAGTCGCCCATGATTATCTCACGGAGTTCCTGAGGGTCAGGAATCCAGGAGGGGCTAAGCTGGGTGGCTCCAGCTCGAGGTCTCTCTTGAGCTTGCTGTCAAGCTGTTGGCCAGTGCAATCCCAGAAGGCTCACTCATGAGGCTGTTGGTAGAAGGTCTCGGTTCCTCACCATGTGGGCTACTCACAGGGCTGCTCAAATGTGACTTAGAGAGAGAGAAAGAGAGAGAGAGAGAGAGAGAAAGAGAGAGAGACAGAGGTTTATTTGTTAGGTGTCCAGGACCGAGAGAGAGGGTATAGAGAGAAAGCACAAAAGAGAGAGAGAAAAAAAGAGAAAGGCAGAGAGAGAGATAGAGACAGAGAGACAGAGACAGAGACACAGATGGTTGTTTAATGTCCAGGAACAAGAGAGAGAAAAAAGAGAGAAAGCACAAAAGAGAGGGGAAAAGAGAAAGACAGACAGAGTGAGAGACAGAGAGAGAACCCACAGCAGAAGCAGCAGTCTTTTTATAACCCAGTCTCAGAAATGATACCCCACCCCTTCTGCCTTAGAAGGAAGTCACTAAGTCCAGTCCAATGCAAGGGGAGGTAATTAAGCTCTATCTCTTCAAGGAAGTGGTATCAGACATTTGTGGACACATTTGTAAAATGACCAGAGCATTAGAACCTCAGAATCCAGCAGAGTAATTGCCCTAATAGTAGATGATTAATGTTTTTAAAAATGGATGGACTAGCTGAAGGAATAAATGAACGACAGAGTGAGCAGGATATTTCTGTCTCATTTCACACACAGGAAAGGCACCGAGGCTCAGAGCAATTAGGACATGTGTGAGGTTGTCTAGGCAGTAAGGGATGGGGGCTGGGCTGGTTTGCCAGAAATCTGAGATGCAGCATGCAGCGTGCAGCAGTTCTGAAATGGAAGCCAGGGATGGCAAGCTATAGCAGCCACTCTTTCCCGGAGGGAGAACAGACTCAACACCACTCAACACCGGGGAGGAAGGGATGACTCAGCAGCACTCAAAACAGAGTCAGGAGTTCTCCCTGCTCTTGCCAAACCCTCTGCAGGCGCCTCTTATCCACACAGGGACACCACCAAAGGTCTGGTTGTGCTGAAGGAAATTTGCAACTCCTGCTTCAAATCTGCAGCCAGTATCTCCCCCAGCAGCCACCAAACCAGGCCAGCACAAACCCAGCCAGAGAGCAACATGGGTGTCAGGCAAAAACAGGCTATTGACTCCATCTTTTTCTAACAGAGATCAGAGTCCTCCGGCCTTCCACAGAGAAGGTGGGGCCTTCTCAGGGTTCTCTGGATCTGCTGGTGTCAGTCAGTATCTATTTCTTCTTCCTAAGAATTTTTTTTTTTTTTTTTGAGATGGAGTTTTTGCTCTGTTGCCCAGGCTGGAGTGCAATCATGCAATCTCGGCTCACTCCAACCTCTGCCTCCTGGGTTCAAGCAATTCTCCTGCCTCAGCCTCCCGAGTAGCTGGGATTATAGGCACCCACCACCACACTGGGCTAATTTTTGTATTTTTAGTAGAGACAAGCTTTCACCATGTTGGCCAGGCTGGTCTCAAACTCTTGACCTCAGGTGATCCACCTACCTCAGCCTCCCAAAGTGCTAGAAT